AGGGTTAGCAGTGTGGTTAAGGTTAGGGTTAGGCTTAGGTTTAAAATCAGATTATAAATTGTAGAAATATACGGGGTTTATGACTTTGTGGCTGTGGTGGTGCTCATGCTTCCTATCACTCAGAAGTTGTATAGCAAGCTAAGGTGACAATGCCTGCCATGGACGTTTCCCAGTTGCTTTAAATGTTCAAAATCATAGCGTAAGAACACTTTTAAAGTCTCGAAGGATAAGATGATCCAACTTTCAAAACTAGCTAGGTATCTTTTTAGTTTTCTAGCACAATCATTAATTTGTTTGTAAACAATTAACAAGCTAGCTAGTTAGCTACCACATATTATTGTCAAACTGTCAACAGACTAGCTAGCAAGCAACAAGATATGCCAAATACCTCGTCTAAAAACGACTTGAGGGCAAATAAATCAGATTTGACCATTCAGACACAAGTCGCATGGCCAGGAATTAGATTTGTACAAAGCCCGGGGAAGTAGGGGCGCTGAGGGTGCCGCAGCACCCCCTGAAAAATCAGAATAAAAAAACAATAAATAAATCACAAAAGTAGTGCACTTGGCCTGTATTAGCAGACCCCCCCACCTACGAAGGTGCTTTCAAATGTGGCTTGAAATATCAGATTACATGTGCTTTTTGGCTGTTCAGACTGCAGGAAAAAGAACAGATTCGTATTGGATATGCAAGAAAATAGGATCGAGTCACTTCAAACTGCCAATTTTTGACTGCAGCTGGGACAAAGTTCTAAATGTGCTGAGTGGATGTTTTGCCCCTCCCTCATAATGTGTATGGGGTTTACTTCGATATCGGCGCATGGTTAACAACTGGTGCTCAACAGTCATGGCTGTATATCAGTCTGATTAGTCAACAAGTGGGGGAGTCCAACAAGTGCAGCATGTGATTGATGAGTGTGCCTGAACTCTGTGCCATTTGGGCACTACATAAAATACCTGGCCAGTCATGTCTGATGGCCAGACAGTATTCACACACTTTGATATGATATTTGCATTAAAGAGGGCATGAATCTAATGTGATAAATTATCGAAAATTAGATATATTTTCTGTATTAAGTGTTCCAAATGCAGGGGTAGCATGAATCGCTATGCTGTAACTCATGTGTCTGAGTGTTTGAACATGTTCTTCACCTTGAGACATAGACGGGTTGTGTGTCTGGCCAACAACACCAAGGGGCCATATCAGTGTGTCTGTGGCTGTGAGTGGACATGTGAGATGAGGGACTTGAGTTACGGGGGCATTTCCCCTGTCTCTAGGCACCACTATGGGCAGAGAGGGAGAGAGAAAGAGAGATAGAGTGTGAGAGGGGGAGAGAAAGTCAGAGTGTGGGAGAAAGACAGAGAGACAGATAGAGAGAGAGAGAGAGAGATGGGGAAAGAGGGGGTGGGGGGGACAGAAAGAATGAGAGAGATGGGGAAGGGGTGGGTCATGTTTCTAGTAGAAAACTTCTCTACGTGTTCCCATAAAAAAAGGCAGAGTAACATAAGCCTTGCCCCACCCCCTCACCCCACCCCAACGCCTCCTGTAAACCCCTACCATGCCCACCCCCCACCTGCCCCCTAGACTATATCAGCTTAGCATAGGGTGTGAAGAGTTTCACTTATTTCAGTAAGTTGGGCAGATGTTAAAGAACTGATAGTGTTGTTGTTTATTCTGCAGGAACTTTTGAGAGAGCTCAATTCAGCCTTCCACCACCATCGCTATTCTGCCCCCTCGTGTGAAAAGCATTACTGCCTGGGTTATGGCAAGGTTAAAATCAGGGCTCTGCAATGAGTAATGGTATATTTGGATAAATAATTAATTACATTTAGTAAAAACAACAATTAACTATTGTTCCTTGACTAGAGCAATTAATCTGTATTTTAATCTGTAGAGCATTCACAAATGCCCTTAGAAAATCCTTTGTACACAATAAACTCATACAGTGTATCAATAAGTGAAGCTGACCAGGTGGGTACAGTAAATCAGCTTTAATACAACTGAATAGTATCCATTCTCCTTTAACTGTGACAGTAGATTACATTTTTTTGTAGTATTTCTGACTGGATGTTTCTCTCACCTGTAGCGTTATTACATGCACCACCAGATGTCATCATAGGCAAATGAGAGATGGCTGTTCCATCTTGCTGTTCCATTGACTACCATCAGCAAATATTGCTTCCAAACAATATCATGGATAAGTGAGGGGAAAAAGCGTATTTGACCCATACCAATTAACTTCTATCAAATTATTTTACAGTTATTAGGTTCTATGATCTCTCTTGAGTCGTGACATATACTTGGCATTGAGGGAAATATTTTTGCTAGGACTTGACATGTTCTGCAGTATTTGTCTTGTCTTTGAAGAAGGAGCCCTCCAAACCATGACTTTTGAAGTGAAGCTTGTAGCAAGCCATGCACTTACACATAGAGAGAATCCCACAAATTGTCGTAGAAAGAGTTCTTCCCAAGATTACACAACATGATAATCCCAAGTGCCCAACACAAATCATGCTCCATCGGTATGATTGTAAAAATTCAGTGAGAGTTTGAGGAGTCAAGAGGCCCCAAAAGTGAGCTGAGGACCTTCATGTACAGATCACGTTACTCATCACATACTTCTCTTTTGATAAAGTATACCATGTAATGTACTGTATACATGTAGTCAGACACACATATAGGTACCCTACGCTACATATGGAGAGCATCCCCATTTCATGTGACCTTTAGAAGGGTGGAGTGTATATTTCTAGATTAATGGCCCAGGCTACATCAGGGGTATCAGACTCCAGCTGGTTCTCGTTACAGCATCCCTCCGCCTCTAATGACTCAATTAGCACTCTCATTTGCTCGTTATGACTAAACAGTGTTGTGACTAAACAGTGCAACGTAAAGACGGGAAATCTCCAATTGGCGAGGCTATTTGGGTGACATGGGTAATATAACTGTTCTATTTCAACCTATTTTGGCCTCTCACATGCAGCGTTACATTGGAACACTAACGTCTCCTAGCTAGTTCTAGTGTTGCAGTCATTTTAAAGGAACCCTATTCCCTATATAGTGAACTACTTTTGGGGAATAGGGTGCCACCTTGCCCTCCCGAACCTGGAATAGCAGGCCCTGCCCTTCATCCATGCTGACTCTGTGGAAAGACTCCCATGGTAAAGCCAACCCATGGCCAACAAACACCTTCCAGGATGACACAACACCTCTATGACAGCTGCTCAAACGCCATAGACACCCTTTATAAAACTACATTCAGTCACGTACAGCGATATCCCTCTGGTAAGTGACCTTGAGAAAGGCGGAGATAAAATTGCTGTCTGTTTTTCAATTACTTTTTTAAAAGATCTCTTACCATGGTGGATACATGAATACACATACTATTCTTCTTTTTTTTTATGAGAAAAGCCATGTCTCTTTTTCATGAGGACAGCATCTCAATAGTTGTGGTTTGGAAGCAGCCCACTAAGCAGAGAAAGATAAGGTCAGCGATAAAGAGGAAGTGAGCTTCTGAATGTCGGGCAATGCGAATGATACCCTCAGCTCTCTGATCTGTCGACTCTACAGGAAACTTGCTGAGGAAGTGAAACGTACTTAATTAGATTTATGACAGTGAACAACATTATACTGACACACAGACTATTGGCCTATTGCATTAATCAATATGGATACAAAAACATTTGTTCTGAAAATGCTATAGAAAGATGGTAAACATAAAGGAGGTCTATTACTGTACTGAGACAAAACAATAAGGCATAATAGTAATCAAACACATGGTATGGAATGATAAATTATAACTACTAACACAATTAGCAGATACACAATGTAATAACAATGTAATATCAATCTTAACATAAGGGACCTACTCAAATCACCAGGTCACAGTTGTAAATGAGAACTTGTTCTCAACTGGCTTACCTGGTTAAATAAAGGTGAAATAAAAAATAAAAAATAAAAATATCAACACAAGCCTGGGTTAGTTAGAGTTCTTTGTCACTGAAATGAGTTGAGCTTCAATGTTAATCAATGGCTACTAGTGTTTCTGGAATCAATTCAGACATGAACATGATTCAGAATGTTTCCACTCAAATGTCTGTTTCTTTATGGCAATGGACCTTGAGCAGAGTCAGTGGACCTCTGTTCCTGGGTGAAGTTTCCCCAAGGTACAGATCTAGGATCAGCTTCCCCTCCCCAATCCTAATCTTAACCATTAATGCAAAACTGACCCAAGACCAGCATCTAGGGGCAACTTAACGCTACACCTGGACCTTTATTTGAGGTGGAAGAAGCCTGATTGTTTGGCAGGAGCAGACATCAGCATGTTAGCTTGGTTCTTGTGTGTGATGTGGATCTAAACACAGGGTGTAAAATAAAGAGGTTTTACGAAGTCATCACAGTCTACAACAGTGTTTCCCTTATCCCTTTACCCTCTGGTGGTAGGGAAACATTTTTGTCCTATCCCTGCACTGACACACCTGATTCAAGTAATAAAATAATCACCAAGCCCTTGATTAGTTGTGTCTGGTGTCAGTGCATGGCTAGAACAAAAATGTGGTCTGTCTGGTGAGGGTTGGGAAACGCTGATCTCCAGTAAATCAAATTGTGTTTCTGAAACAATCTTGAGTCATGAGACTGGGCCTAATTGGGGCCACTGCTAAACTGAACAAGCCAACATCAACAATGTTTCTTAAGAATAAATGTGCCTTGAGTTTTGTCACACTCTGTCTAATTCTATTTGTCATAGAAATCCCAAGGCCAACCCAAAGCCAAACTCACTTAATATATTACATGTATTATATCAAGTATAAAAGTATATTAATATTAGCACTTAGAGTGCAAGGAGGCTGCATCTAGGGCTCACCATCAATCTGCATAGGCAATGCTTTATGTGTCCTGAGAAAGGCAACGAGACAGAGAGACAGGTCCATTTTAATTAACAAAAGGTAATATAAAGGCATAAAACCTTTAAGACTTGTGTATAGAGCCTGCATTAAAGTCTACCTGATAGTGATCTGTGAGGTTTGAGCCAGTCTGTGTCCAGCACTCTTCAGCCCAGAATAGATCTGACCCATTTCGATAGCCCCCTCCAACCCCACCACCTCAATCCGCTTGTCACTCAGGTCTGTGGGAGGGAACAGAACACATGAAAATACTGTACATTGTCATACGCTTGCTCGATAAGCAGACATTCATTCTCATACATAGTGACTTAATAACCAAGACAAATTCAGACCATATGGTCTGTGTAAGGAGAAAAGTGACAATATTACATATAATGCTACAATACACATTCATATCATTAGTCAACAAAATAAACCTCCAACACTGTATGTGTGAGATAAGCAAACCCCACAGTACCTTGTGAGCTCATTTTGAAAACGTTGTGGTCAGTGACGACCTCAGGTGGCTCCTCCTCTGACATGATGTCTCTGTCTGCCTTCTTAGCCTCGCCCCACAGGTTGGATCCGCCGTGCATGCTGGGTATCTTGATGATGGCAAGACCCTCCAGAGAGTGACCACTCAGGTCCAGGGGTGTCCCACAACACTAAGAGACAGACGGACGGACAGAAGGATGGAGACGGAGGGACAGACAGACAGTCAGGGCCACAAACAGGTAAAGAGACATTTTCCTTTTTGCTAAGACTGTGTGTACACTTGAAAACTGTGGTAAGATCCATTAAACCACTGAACTGGAATATCTGGAATGTAAAACTCTTTAGTATTCACCTCAATGCTGAGACACTCATTCAGCTTCCTGCGCGAGGCAGAGATGGTCTCAGAGGTGGCAAACTCAAAATACCCCAGTTTGTTCTTCATCCTTGCAGACAACATAAAAACACATTGTTTTGGATCAGTGCTCAGAGAGATAAAATGAAAACACACCCAGCCATAACAGATTTTTCACTCAACACTCTTTGATCCTCAACCTTTATTCACTCTCACCTGCTGTTGAACTTCTGAGGGTGCTTCTCCCTCATGGAGTGAAAGCAGTGAGCAATGGATGCATCCTGTCAGTAGACACACTGTAGAATTTACATGTATTCAATTCATTCAATGAATATATGATAAGGCTGTTAAAAGAGAAACACAGGTAATTGGATATTGTACAGACTCCAACAGCCACACAGCCAATCAGCCAAAGCAGGCCCTATGACCCTGAGGTCATCACTCACCACGCCTATAGAGAAGTTGTTGTTGATCATTTCATAGGGCACAGGGTCTCCTATCTCCTGGGTGTCCTCTGGAATCACCTGCCCATGCCAGCGGTCCATAGAAACCAATGAGCTCTCCTCAACCTCCTTCAGAATCTCTCCGAGATCCGTGCCCTCGTAACCTACAGGGGTTTCCATAGACACAGAGGGTTTATACAAGAGAAACACATGACGAGCGTTGATTTTGGGGTGCTTTCCTTTGAACCAAAGCACTGTATTCCCTATGGGCCTTGGTCAAAAGTAGTGCACTATATAGGGATTAGGGTGCAAGTTGGGATGCACACCATAATATTAAACAGGGCCCTTACCTCCTCGACAGCGGAGGCAGCGAGCCAGGTCGTTCCCTGTTCCGAGGGTCAGGACCGCCACTGGGGGGCGCACCGGCAGGACAGCTCTGTCTGAGAACACACAAAGGCAGCCATTGTTCAGCTTTAGAGATACACAGAGACCTTAACTACTGGTCATGAACCTCTTTGAGGGGAGAAGAAGTAACTTGCACCTATAGCATCTAGAATCCAGCCGACCGTGCCTTCTCCGCCACACACCAGGATCCTGTAGTCATGGAGGTTCCGGAAGAAGTGGAGTCTGATGGGGATACACATACAGTGGCTTGCGAAAGTATTCACCCCCCTTTTTCCTATTTTGTTGCCTTACAACCTGGAATTAAAATGGATTTTTGGGGGGTTTGTATAATTTGATTTACACAACATGCCTACCACTTTGAAGATGCAAAATATTTTTTGGGGTGAAACAAACAAGAAATAAGACAAAAAAACTGAAAACTTCAGCGTGCATAACTATTCCCCCCCCCAAAGTCATACTTTGTAGAGCCACCTTTTGCAGCAATTACAGCTGCAAGTATCTTGGCGTATGTCTCTATAAGCTTGGCACATCTAGCCACTGGGATTTTTGCCCATTCTTCAAGGCAAAACTGCTCTAGCTCTTTCAAGTTGGATGGGTTCCGCTGGTGTACAGCAATCTTTAAGTCATACCACAGATTGTCAATTGGATTGAGGTCTGTGCTTTGACTTGGCCATTCCAAGACATTTAAATGTTTCCCCTTAAACCACTCAAGTGTTGTTTTAGCAGTATGCTTAGGGTTATTGTCCTGCTGGAAGGTGAACCTCCGTCCCAGTCTCAAATCTCTGGAAGACTGAAACAGGTTTCCCTCAAGAATTTCCCTGTATTTAGCGCCATCCATCATTCCTTCAATTCTGACCAGTTTCCCAGTCCCTGCCAATGAAAAACATCCCCACAGCATGATGCTGCCACCACCATGCTTCACTGTGGGGATGGTGTTCTCGGGGTGATGAGAGGTGTTGGGTTTGCGCCAAACATAGCATTTTCCTTGATGGCCAAAAAGCTCAATTTTAGTCTCATCTGACCAGAGTACCTTCTTCCATATGTTTGGGGAGTCTCCCACATGGCTTTTGGCAAACAGCAAACGTGTTTGCTTATTTGTTTCTTTAAGCAATGGCTTTTTTCTGGCCACTCTTCCGTAAAGCCCAGCTCTGTGGAGTGTACGGCTTAAAATGGTCCTATGGACAGATACTCAGGGTTATCTTTGGTGTCTTTGTTGCCTCTCTGATTAATGCCCTGCTTGCCTGGTCCGTGAGTATTGGTGGGCGGCCCTCTCTTGGCAGGTTTGTTGTGGTGCCATATTCTTTCAATTTTTTAATAATGGATTTAATGGTTCTCCGTGGGATGTTCAACGTTTCTGATATTTTTTTATAACCCAACCCTGATATGTACTTCTCCACAACTTTGTCCCTGACCTGTTTGGAGAGCTCCTTGGTCTTCATGGTGCCGCTTGCTTGGTGGTGCCCCTTGCTTAGTGGTGTTGTAGACTCTGGGGGCCTTTCAGAACAGGTGTATATATACTAAGATCATGTGACACTTATATTGCACACAGGTGGACTTTATTTAACTAATTATGTGACTTCTGGAGGTAATTGGTTGCACCAGACCTTATTTAGGGGCTTCATAGCAAAGTGGGTGAATACATATGCACGCACCACTTTTCTGTTATGTATTTTTTTGAATTTTATGAAACAAGTTCTTTTTTCCATTTCACTTCACCAACTTGGACTATTTTGTGTATGTCCATTACATGAAATCCAAATAAAAATCTATTTTAATTACAGGTTGTAATGCAACAAAATAGGAAAAACGCCAAGGGGAATGAATATTTTTGAAAGGCACTGTACACATCAATCAGTCAATCACATTTATTTATAAAGCCCCTTTTACATCAGCAGTTGTCACTAAGTGTTTTTACAGTCACCCGGCCCAAACTCCAAAGAGCAAGCCGAAGCAAGAGCACACAATGATACACATTCATAGTGGAAATAACAGATAATAAGAATTAAGATATAATTTAACTATGTCACACCGATCCCCAAATTGGAAATTGATTAAAAAAAGGTAGCACTTTACATTAACCCTTCAACATAAGACATACATAATACTGTCCTAACAATGACATAACATATGTAATAGTACAGTCCACTTCCCTCCCACCCTGATGGTCAAACTGCACTTGAAGTTACCCGGGTCCAGGTCCTCCATTGGAGAGATTGTAGACCTGGCTGGGGTTCAGTAACTACTGGAACTTCCTCAGCACTCTGAAACATATATGGCATGGCATGACATTCCCTCACAGTCACAGGAGTACATGCTACTAGTGCAGGCTAGGATATGTTTTATGATGTCTGTCCTGCTCCGTTCTTACCCCTCCCCTTGCTTTCCTTCGCTCTTTGGGTTCACAAACACCAGGAGAGGGTGGGTGTCTGGAATTGGAGCAATCTGCAAAGGGAGATGGGGAATAGAAAAGATTGATGTGTAAATTCCCCAAACAACGGCATGCATGCCATGCAGCAACCAGCACAATACAATTGCAGTAAATACGACTGACATTAGCAGATCCATATTAAATTAAAATGCAGTACTGGCACACATTGGTGCCCATGCTAATGGATAGGACTATTATTGTGTGTGAGGTTGATATGGTACGGTGTGTCCCTGTCATTGATAGTTAGGGAACCCTACACTGTTAGAAAAACGTGTTCCAAAAGGGTTATTTGGCTGTCCCCATAGGATAACCTTTTTTTGGTTCCAGTAGAACCCTTTTAGGTTACATGTAGAACCCTCTGTGGAAAAGGTTCCACAAGGTACCAAAAAGGGTTCTACCTGGAACCAAAAGGGTTCTACCTGGAACCAAAAAGAGTTTTACCTGGAACCAAAAAGGGTTCCTCAAAGGGTTTTCCTATGGGGACAGCCAAATAACCCTTTTAGGTAGCACCTTTTTTTCTAAGAGTGTACCTGCAGAATGTGCCCGTCTGGGGTGATGTCCTCTAGGCTAGTGTCCTCCATGGAATTCCTCCTTCCCTCTTCATCCTTCTCCTGAAACACAGGGACGGAGAGAGTTAGGAGCATGGCAAGGAATAAACACATTTGACACATACTGTAGTATTATTGGGTGACAAAATCTGCCTGCATTTATTGTTTTTAGCGGAAGAATAGTCTGTATGGCTATAAACAATGTGACTTCATTTGCAAACTGTTGTGGAACGGAGTCATGGGCTTGTCATGGGTTTAATGGCTGACCTTGGAGACTGAGTATATGGCCCACGGTGGCAGAATGTGGTCTCTTAGAGACCCGCAGTCGCACGATGATGACCCAAAGTTCACACAGTCGTCATGGCGCTAATACAAGACAGTCATTGTAAAGACCAGCGGCAGCCTGTGTGTACACATACATTCAAGCAAGCAAATATGCACGCACAAACACACACTCACCATCTGTTAGCACCACAAGCAATGCTTCCCTGCCAGGGTCTTGATCTTCTTGTTGCAGAAGTGACACTTACTGGAGTCACAGTCAGCAATGACCCAGCCGTGATCTGGCACCTGGAGCAGACAGACAGAGGGACAACATCCACAAACACCTATCAACACTATAGCCACCAGTGCAAGATGTGAAGACTTTTATGTTTTCAATTTTGCTGATTGAAAACACATTCTTGAAATTGACATAATACTGATCAGGTGTGCAGATGAATCACAATTAAATATGGAACTGACTCTTATCAGGTCTAAATCATAATTGAGCCTCACCCAAATCAGATTTTTGGATTTAACGAATGTGTGGGCGCATGGATCAGGGTTCTTGTTGGCACAGCGACCATTACATTTGACATTTTAGTCATTTAGCAGACGCTCTTATCCAGAGCGACTTACAGTTAGTGAGTGCATACATTTTCATACTTTTTTTCATACTGTCCCCCCGTGGGAAACGAACCCACAACCCTGGCATTGCAAGCGCCATTTTCTACCAACTGAGCTACGCGGGGCCATGGACGGTGTACTTGCATACTGATGGGGAGAGAAGAAAAAATTGTCCGGGTAGCCATGATTAGCTGTTCAGGAGTCTTATGGCTTGGGGTTAGAAGCTGTTGAGAAGCCTTTTGGATCTAGACTTACCCGCACTACCACTTGCCTTGCGGTAGCAGAGAGAACAGTCTATGACTAGGGTGGCTGGAGTTTTTGACAATTTTGAGGGCCTTCCTCTGACACCGCCTGGTATAGAGGTCCTGGATGGCAGGAAGCTTGGCCCCAGTGATGTACTGGGCCGTACGCACTACCCTCTGTAGTGCCTTGCAGTCGGAAGCCGAGCAGTTGCCATACCAGGCGGTGATGCAACCAGTCAAGATGCTCTCGATGGTGCAGCTGTAGAAAGTTTTGAGGATCTGAGGACCCATGCCAAATGTTTTCAGTCTCCTGAGGGGGAATAGGCTTTGTCATGCCCTCTTCACGACTGTCTTGGTGTGTTTGGACCATGATAGTTTGTTGGTGATGTGGACACCAAGGAACTTGAAGCTCTGTTGTGTCGTCAGTAAACTTAATGATGGTGTTGGAGTCGTGCCTGGCCATGCAGTCATGGGTGAACAGGGAGTACAGGAGGGGACTGAGCACGCACCCCTGAGGGGCCCCCGTGTTGAGGATCAGCGTGGCAGATGTGTTGTTACCTACCCTTACCACCTGGGGGCGGTCCGTCAGGAAGTCCAGGATCCAGTTGCAGAGGGAGGTGTTTAGTCCCAGGATCCTTAGCTTAGTGATGAGCTTTGAGGGCACTATGGTGTTGAACGCTGAGCTGTAGTCAATGAATAGCATTCTCACGTAGGTGTTCCTCTTGTCCAGGTGGGAAAGGGCAATGTGGAGTGCAATAGAGATTGCATCATCTGTGGATCTGTTGGGGCGGTATGCAAATTGGAGTGGGTCTAGGGTTTCTGGGATAATGGTGTTGATGTGAGCCATGACCAGCCTTTCAAAGCACTTCATGGCTACAGACGTGAGTGCTACGGGTCGGTAGTCATTTAGGCAGGTTATCTTAGTGTCCTTGGGCACAGGGACTATGGTGGTCTGCTTAAAACATGTTGGTATTACAGACTCAGTCAGGGACATGTTGAAAATGTCAGTGAAGACACTTGCCAGTTGGTCAGTACATGCTCGGAGTACACGTCCTGGTAATCTGTCTGGCCCTGCGGCCTTGTGAATGTTGACCTGCTTAAAAACCCCAGCACTAGCACAGAACTTAGTTAGTTAAATCAGTCAGTTGCTGGGCTGGGACAAAACGTGCATGCCCTTAGGCCTGTACACTGGACCAGAGGCCAGTTAGTGACCACAGATCTACAGTCTACCAGGACACACAGAACTCCGGTCTATGAAAATGAGACACATAGAGATCGCCCCCTGGTGACGGGATAGAGCTCTTACAGATGCAGGAAAGGCCCTGTTTCTTGAGGCCCAGTAGCATGCTCCTACACATGCTGCAGAGAGAGAGAGAGAGAGAGAGAGAGAGAGAGAGAGAGAGAGAGAGAGAGAGAGAGAGAGAGAGAGAGAGAGAGAGAGAGATAGAGAGAGAGAGAGAGAGAGAGAGAGAGAGAGAGAGAGAGAGAGAGAGAGAGAGAGAGAAAGAAAGGCAAGGTCTTTGTTAAAAACAGTCAAGTAAACAGCAGGGTAGTCTCGTTGCATGGTAGACCCATAGCGAAGGAGACACTGTGGCTGTGTGAAGAGACTAACAGCATGGTAAAGTAAACAGCACGTCAATCCAAACAAGTATCATTTGTATGTGTGCAGACTTATTTCTGATACAGTATTGTCAACAACGTATGAGGGCCATGAATAGATCGATTTTGGATAAGACAGGGACAAGATAAGACATAACTGGATAAGACATAACTTTGGGGTGACATTTAAAAGTATAATCTAAAACAGAATTGAATAAAGCTTTATCGAGATGTACAGTAGTTGAACCATACAGCACGTAGCAAATGTTATACGACATAAGGAGTCTATTGTCATATGCTGAATCATGTATACTGATTGAGTTAACCAGAGGAGCCAGAGACTGACTGTCAGTGCTTCTTGCCTTGAGTCCTAGCAGCACCAGTAGGGGCACATTGGATCCACTCCTGCAGGGTGACTGCTCCACTGCTGTCAGCATCGATGGCCTTCATCATGTCCTTCAGCACCTTAGGGACCAATCAGAGTAGTTAGGCTTCCACTGTTCCTGTTTCCTGACCAATCAGAGTAGTTAGACTTCCACCGTTCCTGGTTCCTGACCAATCACAATACATGCTAAGTCTCACTGCGCTGCTGCTGGGTGTTAGCCCTATACACCCAAAGAGTCTATTACCAGAATGTGCACAGCACACTTATTAGTTAACTTTGTACTATTGCTATACTATTGTGCTGCTGGTAATGTTGATCATTATATATTTACATTGATGGCTGTCAGCCCATGGCTGATATACTAGCCCACTGTATTCAGGATCATTGTGTTTTATTTTGATCCATGTGGATGTTTTTTTTATGTCTCATGCTCACCTGCTGCTAAGCAAATTGCCCTCTGGGATGAATAAAGTTCAACCTTGAAACTTGAACTTCAACCCATAACCCGTAAACCCTATTACAGTATATCTAATTTAGGATCCACTTAACTTAATTCATTGGGAGCTTCTTTCCCATGTATGGACATCACTTCAAATTTAATTTTGTAAATTAATTTATTGGAATTGAACTGGAATTAAACCCAACCCTGCTAAATACTGTTAACATTAGTCACTCATCGCTATTCATTACAACTCTCTAACCAGGAACTTGCACAAGGACTGTATAATTGAGTGCTGCTGGGTGGAGACTTTGTGCCCAATTCAATCAAGACCACTAACTAGATTACTGGGATGAAACAAAACAATTTGAGAAAGTGTATATTTAGATTAATGTGGTCAAATTCTTTCCATGAAAATAATTCCCCCCCCCCCCCCCCGTTGATCAAAAAGATAGGCATAATAACACTTGCTTACTTGTCCCTGATACCTGGGTAAACTACAAAGCAGAGTGATTAGATGTACTACGAATCTAGCGAGATGTACTCAGGCTTTTCTGAAGTTAGCTAGCTTCAGTTAGCTTCACATTTCAGCTCAGGCTTCATCCGTATTACGAAGGTGGATATTGAGTCTGCCTTCGCCGCTAACTCCAGCCAGGCTTGTAACTGCGTGTGCATGTCGTAATCAAAATGAAAGAAAAGTTATCCTGCAAATTCTACAGGCTATGGTGGAAAATAGGCTTTTAAAAGTGCCGTCTTTTTAAAATTACGTATCGTTAATGCCATCTTTGGTGTGCTTATCAATCAATGTACGAGCACCTTTGTTACTACTGTTGATAATCACAAGTTTACTGGAGAACTGAGACCAAGTAGAGACTTTGGACAGGGTGGATATGGTATAATAAAGGCAGTTTATTCAGAGGTAAAGATATCTGAAATCGCGTGCACGGACTCGTTCGTCAAACTCGTAGGGAGCTATCTGAAGAGAGCCCCGAAACATTGTGTGCAGACATTTTATGCAATAAATGAAGTAGGTTGAATCTAGTAGTTCTGATCTTCTGATTGGTCCTGATGAGTTGGGCGAGGTCCCCTCCAGGCTAGTGTCACTGTTGCATTGGCTCTGAGTCGGGTTCTCTGTCTTCAAATGTTCAGCCTAAAAGAGGGGATTTTGTGTGTGTGTGTGTTAACAGTAATGATGTGTGTGTGTGTGTGTGTGTTTGTGTGTGTGTCAAGGCAGAACTCGTGAGTTGGAAGAACTGAGAGGCCTATGGCGTGGGTGTTGTCCTTGGCCACCTGCTGACAAGGCTGACAAGATAGGACCCTTTTGTCCATTGTTATTGGATAGGAACAGAACTTATAACCAGCTCCTGACCTAAATAGATCTTAGCACAACATTTTACTCAACATATCATATTCCATATTCACTATAACAAATATATTTACTACGACAAATCCCCCTCTTCACGTCTCCCCAGAGACGTGACCAAGTAACAGTAAAGAAGGAAAACTTGAGACGTGACACAAGCTAACAGTGTAATTGGCAAAATAGGGAAAACTTTATCAGAAGATAAAGTTTTGATTCCCCCTCTTCACGTCTCACAAGAGACGTGACACAAGCTAATAGTGCAATTGGCAAAATAGGGAAAACTTTATCAGAAGATAAAGTTTTGATTCCCCCTCTTCACGTCTCACAAGAGACGTGACAAAAAAGCTTAAATGCTATTCATCATCCAGATATCCTTGGTCAGCATCGTCAATAGCAAGCAAAGGAAACATCTGACCGTTATCTGCAGGATTTGGATCAATAGCGGTGGTTATAATCCTGGTTGTCAGCGTCCGTATGCATGGAATGCAACAGCATCCACAAAGCACTAGAATTGCAGCAAAAACAGAGATGGATACAAGTATAGAAGAAACAAGCGTTTTATATTTACCAAACGCATCCATCCAAGAGTCCCACATTGAAGTATCCACCCCTGAGTGGCTCTTCATCTTGCCATTAAGAGTTCGTAACCCTTCCAGAGCAATTGTCAAACTTCCATCTGCAGCAGTATTATTAGGAATAAAAGTACAACATTGTTCCCCGAACATAGCACACACACCCCCTCTTTCAGCAAGTAACATATCAACAGCAATTATATTCTGAAAAGCCATTAATGAAGTTGCAGCTAGTTGTCCATGAACAGCCTCAAAACCTTGTTGAGTCCAGTTTTCTAATTTCTGGACATTAATGTATGTAGTTAATTCTATCGACGTCTTTATTAATGGTACAACAGTCAGCACCCAAAAGACACCATTCCACTGTACTCCATGTACCCATGTTCAAGGACAGTTTCACAGAC